GGGGAGAGTTAGGCCAGGGGAGACCAAACTGAGTAGACAGTCCGGGCCGTGGAGGCCACAGTTTGGGCTGGGAAAGTGGTGAAGGGTTCTAAGTTTAGGTGGTGACCTGACAGGTTTGTGAGTTGAAAAGACCCCTGTGGTTGCCAGGTGGAGAATGAACTGGAGGGGCCGGGGGCCAGAGGCAGGAGAGTACACATGAAGCTTTGGGGAGGTGGCGTGAGGGGAACAATAGCGGCTTGAGCTGGGATGGTGGATGTGGAGATGGAGGGACGAGGACAGAGTCTGGAGGTAGCAGGAGGTAAAATGATGATACAACCAATAGGAGTAGTAACAGCAGCCAACATTTATTGAGCATTTACTGTATGCCAGGCCCTGTGGCTTGGGCTGTTCATCTTTACATCAACCCTCCCAGGTTGGTTCTGTCACTCTACCCATCTAGTGGTGAAGGGGCTGAGGGACTCCAACCAGGAGATGCTTGGTTTGAGCTTTTGGTTATTGTGAGAGGGACTGGGCAGGGAGGTGGAGGCACCATTCAAAGACACGGGACCCCTGCACAAGGAACACAGGAAGGAGAGGAACACTAAACAGGGGACCCACTGTGGCGGGGCTTTGGGTTAGCTGGGAGGAAAGTACACCCAGCCCCATCTCCATACTCAGGGGTCTCCTGTGCATGAGACTTGAGTGGGGCACTGGCCTGGGGGTGCAGGCTCTGAGGTGAGGTCCCTGATAACAGCTCTGTCTCCACCCCGATGTATGCCAAGGCAAGACTCCAAGAGCCCTATGTCAGCTGGGACCCAAGGGAGGAACAGAAGTCTCTGGCCAGATGCTTCGTTTCAGCTATCAGGTGAATTCCCTTCCCAGGGAGTTGATCGGGGGGTCAGGTCTGCATCAGATCCCAAAGAGATGGGGACAAGGCAAACAGATGGGCATAGGACAAGGGATCAGAGGAGAGGAGGCCAGTGAGGTGGATGGAGGTGGAACTTCCCTAGCTTGGGGGCTAGTGGCATTTCTTTGGCATTTTGAAGGTCAAGTGACTCTGGGGGACAGATGTCATCACATACACACACACCCCACACACGCGTACTAGCAACACTCTCTGGCCTACAGCACAGGGACCACCATTGGCCTGATATCACACAGAATGATGCTCCTGGTGATAACATGCAAATCATAGGCAAAAGCCAGGGGCCTTGGACCCGAGCTGATCCCCAAGGAAGAGAGGAGGGCAGGTGTCCAGCCGGGCTGCCCCAACACACTCTGCTGCATGCGAGGACTGCCCATCCTCTGCCCTCTGCCTGGCTAACCCCTACTTGCCCCTCGAGCCTGCCCCAGCATTACCTCCTCTGGGACAGTTCTTAGGAGGCCCCTTCACTGCCGTGCCACAGCGCGTCAGCATCCTTCTCATGCTGTGTGTGTCCGGGGCACCGTGCCCCGGCCCAGAACACCAGCTGGGCTCATCCGGCTCCATGGTCCCAGCTCACCTTCCACCCCTCACTGCTCAGGCTTGTGCCTGAAGCATAGGAGAGGGGGGCCAGGGAGAAGCTGCTCTAGCTGGAACTGTCACCCCTCAGGAGCCCAGACGGGTACTCCCACCTCAGCCAAGCAGCCCCTATCTTTTGGGCCAACACCAAGGCCCGGGATGGGTGGCAGCTCTCAGGGAAAGGCGACCTCACCATCCAGCCCACGCACCAACCACTGGCCTGGCCTAGCACGGTGTTTCTACTGAGGATGGGAAACGATGGGACGCGCCCCGGCAGGGCAGCTCGGGAGCCCCGGCAGCCGGAGGCAGCAGGCAGGAAGCTGCTCTGGCATTTCAGCTCCCTTGAGGCACACCTGCACCCAGCCACTCAGCGCCCTTCTCGCGTACAAGCACGCGCAGGGACACTGCCACACACGGCCAGGGGCTCTCGCACACAGCACGCAGTCTCACATACACACGGTCTGTGTCACACACAGGGACCCCCGCCCGCCCACAGCCTCCCGCACAGATGGTCTCATGCACACAGCCTTACGTGCGCACACACGCACGCACACGGCCTCACACGCAGAGCTCCACACATGGCACACACAGTGACACACTCACACGGACACACTCGCCCCGAGTCTCTCACGCACTCCCAGAATCTCACACACACGTCCCTTGCACATGCAGCCTCCCTTCCTCATATGCGCAGCCTCTCCCACACAGCCTCTCTCTCTCACACACGCGTCCATCTCTCACAACACACAGAATCGCCTCTCTCACGTTCACACACGGTTCTCTGACAGGGACTCACAGCTGAACCGCACACACGGCCTCGCTTGCGCGTATTTTTATTCTCACACACGCGAAGCCTCACACTCACTCAGAGTCTCTTACACAGATTTTCTCTCACACGCCTATGCAACGTCTCACACACGAGATTCTGGCCTGGAATCCAGAATGAGACTTTGAATCCCGACCCACCGCTCTGAGGAGGCCCGAGTGGGGGAGGGTAAGCCAAGGTGACAGCAGTGGCGGTGGAGCAAAGATGGAGGGGAGGAGGGCGGGCAGCCGCAGAGAGGCAGCGCAATGCAGCTCGGCCGGCCGGCAGGGCAGCGGCAGGAAGCCTGGGTTCTAATCCCAGCTCTGCCCTCCCCGCTTCCTGTGTGCCCTTGGGCAGGTCCCCCCGACAGGCCTCAGTGTCCTCGTCTGTTACCCAAGGGAGTCGGAAAGGACTACAGCCTTTTTGTGAGGCTATTGTGGAAAGAAGGTGGCACGGACAGGCTGAGAGGGGACATCTGCTACCACCCACCTCCCTCCTCATTACCCCCCCACCTCCTGCCACCCCTGACTGCCCAGCTTTTCCCTTGAAGGCTGCTAGTCAAGGGACATTCACTTGAGAGGTTTTCCAAGACTTTCCCATAAGGCTTTGTACTCCAACGAGACCTCACACCACACTCGCCGGCCCATTCGTGTGCCTTGGGTGAAGCCCACCCCACAGCCTGGGGATGTCCAGTGGGATGGGATGGACAGGGGAGGGGGCTGGAACATGCCCCACCGACCCCTGCCTGCCCTGAAACTCAGGGACACTGATCAGAGCCCTCACGCTAAGTCCAGGGGCTGAGCTGGGAGGAACCCCCTCTTGCTAGGCAGCCAGCGGGCTGAGACTACAATGAGGAAGCGGGGCCTGCCCCGTGCTCCTGGGGCCAAAGTGGAGGGGGGATACGAGGGGGGTGCCGTCCAAGGTCGAACGTGGGCTGACCTGGCAGCTGCTCTAACCCAGGCCCGCCTTGGACCAGCCTGCCTCCCGCCCCCACCCCAACAGCCCCCTCCCCCTCTGCCAGCCCCTCCCCCCAGCTCAGCCACAGCCTCCACTTACATAACCCTCTAGCTGTGGTGGCCTGGCAGGAAAGGGGAGGGGAGGGGAGGCCTCTGAGGGTCCCGGTCCACTCAGGAATGGCAGGAGCTGGTGGCCAGCTCGGGGGAGGACAGGGTCCCAGGAGAATTGGGTTCTAGTCCTGCTTAGCCTCCAGCTCCCTCGGTGACCTTGGGCAGGGTCCTCAGTGGCAAAACAGGGGGGCCTGGCTCTCTCTCTATTACCCCACTCCCACCCCACATAAATACACCTGTTCTAGGGTTCAAGGCATAAGGCTCTGACCTGCTGTCGCCTCTCTCACAGGCCCTACTGGGTCTTACCTCGGTAACAAAGCTACCAGGCTTGTGCCTAAACACAGCCTTTCTCTGCCCACGGGTGCCTGGGGCCCCCGAGTCTCCTTCCTCCACTGACCCTCTGCAGATTCCTCCTCCTCCCCACGCCCTCCACAGGCTCCGGAGGGGAGGGGTGTGGAGCTGTAGAAGACCAGGCAGGGCAGAGGCAGGGCCTTGCCTGGGGGTGGAGGGCTCCGTTGGGGGAGGGGCTCTGCTTTAAATTCCCAGCTCTGCCCCTCCCCTTGTGCCTCAGGCTCTCTTCAGGCCTCAGAGGACAAAGCCCAGCAAAGGCCGAGAGTGTCTCTTCCTGGGTAGGTGGCTGCCACTAGCCTCTCCTTTTGGGCTCGGTTCCTGATGGTCCAACAGCAAAGGTCTTGGAGTTCACCATATCCCCTCCCCTATTTTACAGATGGGGAAACGGATCGAGAGAGGCCATCAGAGGGGCCAAGGTCAGCAGCAGGGTGTCCTCTCTTTCCTGCAACAAGCTGCTGTCACTAATGGGGAATGGCCAGTGAGGACACGCCCACCTCTCACACACCCTCTCCTTGTAGGTTCCCCCTTAGGGACCCCCTCTCTGCCCCATGACAGGTCCCAGAGGACACACAGGCATAAGCCCAGTGACCCCCTCCAACATCCTCCCCGTTCAACCAGGAGGAAGACCTCCCAGGAGGAGATCTCACATCCCCCACCCCACAGCCCAGCCCTACACCAACTACCCAAGCCAAGGAGATTAGCAGAGGAGATAGACCACCGCCTCAGAATCACCTGAGGATGCTCTCTGGGGAGGGGGCTGTTTGTCTCCAGCTGGCCAGCAGGCCTCAGGCCCTCTCTGGCATGCCCCCTGGGCTGGCTCCCCATGGCCCCTTACCTGAAAGGGAGGAGGAGCTCCCAACTTCCCTCCCCACACTAAAATCTAGAGGGTAGTTCACACCGTCACAGTGTACATCTGCAAAGACACAAATATGCACAAATATGTGCTCGTGCACACTCACGCATACACACATGCTCACTCATTCCCACTACACACTTTACCCACCCAAATATACACCACCACACTTGCCTAAATATGCACACACAATCTAATCTACTCATACACACAAACACACCCATTCATACTCACTCATACATATTAAATTTGGCAATAGAGACACAGATTCTTACATATAAAACCAGTCACCCTCACAAAGAGTCGCCCTCTTTCTCTCTCTGCACACACCCCTTTCAGTTCTGAACTCCCTAGGCGCCAGTTTTCCAGTCCACCCCTTCCCGCGGGAGGCAGAGGACGCTGCCTTCCCTGCCCCGCTCTTCTGATGGGTAAGTTGTCACTTACCCGCGCGTAGCGGGACGAGTAGGGGTCCTCGAAGAGAGCCCAGATGCGCGGCTGCCAGCGGCGCCAGAAGCCGCCAGGCCGGCCGTCTGGGGAGTCACTGAGCGCCAGGCGTTTGGTCATCTCCAGCTCGTCCTCGCCGTCGCCCGAGTCGCCAGGGCCGTCGGCGTCCGCGTCGTCCGCGCTGTTGTCCAGGGGCGCGCCGCCAAAGCTGTCGAGCGCCTCCTCGGCGTCGCGGTGCTGGCGGTACGTCATCCAGCAGCAGGGCTCCACGTCGGTCTCGTCGATGCCCCAGAAGGCCAGCTCCTCCTCGTAGAGCGGCCCGCACACGTCGGCCGGGCAGTGCAGCTTGCCCGTGCGGTAGTAGTTCAGGATGTGCGCAAAGACGCCCGGGTGGCGGTCGAAGAAGAACTCGTCGGCACGCGGGTCATAGTCGAAGTGGCTGTGGGCGTCGGGCTCCGCCAGCCAGGCGAGCCGCGTGCCGGGCAGCGTGCGCAGCGTCGAGCGGTACGTCTGGTGGCGCGTGCCGCCCACGTTGATCACGATGCGCTCGCTCTCGTCCCCTTGGCCCATCGCGGCGCCCCCTTAGGCATGGCGCGGCCCACCGACACCCATGGGAGCGGCCGCCAGGGGGAGATGGCGCCGGGGAGGGGGGCGCGCAGCCTCCTCCCCCCTCCCCCCAGCCGTCGGGGGGAAACAGATGCCCGCGGCTCTGGCCACCCCAACGAGCGACTCAAGCCCCCGAGGAGCTTTTTGTCTCGTGCCGGTCCGAGGGAGTGTGCGCGGGATCCCAAGGGTCTCTAGGTGCCGGGTGTGGGAGGGAGCTGGTCCGGCTGCGGAGGAGGCAGAGGAGGAAAGAAGGGAGGGAGGGAGGGAGGCAGGGAGGGGGGCGGCGCTCAGCGGCGAGCCCCGGGAGGAGGGGAAAGAGGGTGGGGGGGACGGGCGCCCGTCCCCATCTCAGCGGGAAAATGGAGAAATCAGCACAACGCTTTTGGGGGGAAGGTCAGCTGCTCCCAGGGCCGGACGGATAGACCAGCCCCCGGAAGGGGGAGAGGGGGAGAGGGGACCGGGAAATTCGCCTTCCTCTGTGCGGTGGTCGCCGCAGCGCGCTCTCGGCGCTGGGGAGATGGATGCCGGCTGCCTTCCTCCCTGCGTGGCCGGGCTGCAGCTCGGGACGCAGGGCGGGCTCCGGCCCCCTCCCTCTCTCTTTGCTTGGCTGCCTGCTCCCCCCGGCGGCGGGCGCACCCGCCCGCCCGCCCTCCTCGTTCCTTCTCCCCGCCTCCTGGAGGAGATGGCGGGCCCCCTGGGCAGGGGCACCCGGGGTGTTGCTTGGTGCGGCGAACGCTGAGCGCTGCTCTCGGTGCGCTCCGGCTCGAGCTGGGGCTCCGCTGGGCTGCGCTCGGACTGAGGCTCCCGTGGCGGTGCTGAAAGGACAGCTCCCGGGCGGTTGCGGAGCTGCGCGGGGCCGGGCGGGGGTTCTCCGGGCTGGGTTTGGTTCGCGGGGCCGGCGGGCACTGGCTCCGGTGCCTCTGCGCCCCGCGCTCCGCTCCCCGCTTCGGGCAGGCGGTGGGCGCTGCCGGCCGAGGCGAGGGGGCTGCGGAGGTCGGGCCCAGGAGGCGGGGGTGGCGGGTCCGGGCGCGGCGAGGTGAGGCCGGCGAGGCCGGGGAGGCGAGGCGCGGAGCGGCCGCCGCCGCCGCGACGCTGCTGCCGCCCGGCTGCTGCTCGGCTGGCTTGCTGGCTCGCTCGCTCGCGCGGTCCGCGTCCAGCCCGCCGCTCTCCGGACACGGGCACACGGCGCGCGCAGCCGCACTCGCCCCCGGAGGAAGGCGCCGCGCTGGGTCCTAAAAAGCCCTGATTCCGCGCCCCTCTCCCAGCCCCGCGCCGAACTCGGCCTCCCTCAACCCCGGCGCTGGGGGCGCCCGCCCCGCTAGGCTCCTACCGTTCCCGGGGGGACCCGCCGACGCTCCGCCCTCAGGGAACGCCACTCGATGGGCGGAGGCTCCGAGAGACGTCTGGGCCCGCGCCCCTGGGTCAGACTGAGGTGAGAAGGGCGTCGGCACCCGCCCCTCTCCTTCCAAACCAGGGACTATCTGATCCCCTGGTGAGTAAGACACTCCTCACAGCCCTCGGAGACACCCTGACCCGGACCAGTTCTGACCACTCCAAGGAACCCTTTAATACCCACCCTTCCTTTGTAACCTGGAGCCCCCATAGGTACTCTCTTGCATGGTCTCAAAAATAACACACACACACACACACCCACACACACACACGTTATTCTCTAAGCTCTCCACTAACAACCAGTCCTGGACCTCTATTAACCCTTTCCACCCCTTACTGACCCCAGGCACTTGATAACTTCAGGGAGACCTAGTGCCCCTTGAGCGCCGCAGAACTCTGCCACATTGACTCCAGCTCACTGACTCTCCCACACTAACCCTAGATCCCTAGGTGGGGATCCCTTGTGAAAGGGCCTTCTGCCCTCAGAGGTCACAGGAGCAACTGCGCCTAGTCTCCCTGAACATTGACACCCGCCTTGGGGCTTCAGCTGCCCTGGGTGGTAAGCTGATGTTGTGTCCTCTCTGGTGGCTGGGTGGGAACGACTGCCTGCTGGGATTCCCACAGCGTCACAGTTGATCCTGGGCTGGGAGTTATGGTTTGGACCTCAAAGCCTTCCTGGCCCACGCTGCTGCCAGTGCCTCAGTTGACCCAGTCAAGCAATCACTCATTTACTCCTTACATATTTCAGGCTCTGTCCCAGGCACAAGGGCACAAGAGATGACTCAGACCCAGACCCTGCCCTCGAGAAGCTCTCGGCCTTTTGGGGAGGTAGGCAGGTGGACGTGGGCAGGACTGGGGAGGTCAGGCCCAGCTCCAGGGGCGGCTGGGCTGGGAAAGAGGCTTATTGATCCCAGCTCAGCCCAATCGAACACAGGCTGCCTGGGCAAAGGGCGATTTAATTAAGAAGATACGAGGCTCTTATTTACCTGTTGGCACTTTCTAACTGTGCAGACAGCTGTCCCTCTACACTGACCCACAGATGCTGTTGTGGGCCTAGGGACAAAACTGTGCCACAGACATCTCTCTCCTTAGTTGGCCAGGGGAATTCCCAACCCAGTCACAGGGAAATCTGTGTGTTGAGGAAAAGGCTTGGAGGGACGGAGAGGGGAAGGAGCAGGGCATGGAATGACAGATGGAAGGAGGGGGTGGGGAGGTGGGAAAGACAGACACAGTTAAGTTAGGAACAGGGGCAGAGATGGGTGGAGACAAAGAGAGTCTGGGACCAGGAGTGCCCCTCCTCTCCAGAGATTGATCTGTATTATTCCTCTAAATAGGAGTTCTTTCCCCTTGAATATCAGAGTAAGGCAGGGATGGGAGTGTTTTTGAGTGTCCCTCTCACCTTGGCCAGCGTGAGTCCCATCCCCTAACCATAAGGAGGCTCAGCCTGATGCAGCCCAACCCACCTATATCCAGATCCCCAGGACATGGACTCTCAGAAAACTCTGCCTCAACCCTAGGGGATGATTAAATAGAGAAATGGAGACCCCAGAAGGAAGAGAAAAAGATGGGCACAGAGAGATGGACACACACACACCCCCAGCTGGGAGAAATCAAGATGGGGAGAGACAAGAAAGAGGCCTTTCTAAACCTTCCCTTCCTTCCAGCCAGATGTCCAGCCCCTCTTCTCACCAAGGAAAACTTCTGGGATTCTGCCAGCCATGGGGACCTAGGATTCCACCTCTCTCCTCTCCCGAAGAACTACATGGGATCAGAGACTGGTTCCCTAGCCTTCTCTATCGCTCGTCTCCATAAAAAAGTCGTCAGCTCCTCCAGGGCTTCTCGTTCGCGTCCCTCCACAGTGCCCAGAACACAGTAGCTCCTCACTAAGGTCTAGATGACTGGAGAACAGCTAGGAGAGGGGCTGGGATGCTGGAATCCCAGTGGCAGAGACTGTGGGAGTCTGGAGCCCCTCACTAAGGTGAACAGGGGGTGGGGACTTACTCAGAGGATCAGCGCAGAGCCCCACCCAGGCCATTACCCCCATAGCAGTGAGTCTTAATGGGGAGCTGCAGTGTGACCCAGGGGAGAAGCAGGCGGAGATGGGGAGATGTGAAGAGGCAGAGAGAGAGACAAAGGGATCCTAGTAGGGGGAGGTTTGGCTAGTTGGGGGCTCTGGGCAGGCCTAGCCCTGGAGGATGTGCCAGAAAAAGAGTGGCAGGCCAGGGTTGGAGGGAGAGGGAATGTGAAAGCATTTCCATTGCACCCTAAAATCCCCCCAGAAGTGAGCAGAGAAGGCTCAGACAGAGGAGCTCCCCAGGGAGAGAGGGTAGCTGTCCCTAGGTGCCCCTCTGCTGTTCCACTTTAAGATTCTCAGTTTGATGCCTGGTGACACCCCCCAGCCCAGTCCCCAAGGAATGCCCCCCCTTCTGTATCTTAAGCAGGACATAAAAGTTCCTTCTCTCACTTCCCCTTCACTCTGTGACAAGGCTGGCATTTGCAGAAAGCCCAGAAAAATCAAGAAGATAACAGAAGAAGAAGAAGGAAAAAAAAAAAAAAACCCAGAAAACAGAGAAATATGGGAGGAGGAATTATTGACCAACCTCTAACTTCTCACTTACTAACCACAGACCCTCAGCCCAGTCAAAATCCTCACCCCTTTTCCACTTTGAGTAGTGCCCCCTGTTCACAGCCATTTGTCCCCTCCGTTGCACAGGAAGACTTGTGGTCCCAGGGTAAAGGGTCTTTGGTAGCGGGAGCTGGTTGGGGTGGGGGTAGTATGCTACCAGTGGGGCAACATTGTTCAGTGGAGAGAGCATAACCTCTAGGACCAGACTGCCTGGTTCAAATCCCAGCTCCACCACCAACTAGCCATGACCTTGGGCAAGTTACTCAACTTCTTTGTGCCTCAGTTTCTTTATTGTAGAATGGGAGTAAAAATAATTTCTATATCCTTAACACCTCAGTTCTGGAATTTTTCTTATTCAAGCCGGGGAGGAGGGAGTGCTGGTCTCCACTGAGCCTGTGTGGGAAAGCCTGGAGGACGAGCTGGGGCTGACAGTGGACTAGAAAAAGGTGAGGCGAGTTCTGAAGGCAAGTTTAGCCTATGTATTCCCACCTGGCACTTGCAGTCCTTAGATCTGGTCCAGATAAACTCTGGAACTGGCCCAAGTCCAGCCCCCTCAGGCCTTTGTCCAGGTTGCAGCAGGGCTGGAGCCTTGGGACTCCTAATGGGCTGGGCTGCCATCTTGTGGCCATGCCTGGAAACTAACCTAAGCTGGGTACTGGCAGAGTAGACTTTGAGGTAGCCCTGCTCTGATGGTAAGCAGTGGGGTGGCAGGCATCCCCTCCCCAGACCAGACCTCCTCCCTCCAATGGGCAGGGGAGAGTGAACCCAGAAGTGTCATAGTGGGAAACTGGTGACCTTGGCCCAAGATCTGTAGCCTGGTGCTTAACCTGGGCTGGACAGGAGTGGGGCAGGGACTTCTGGATCACGTAGGCCATGGGAAGCCTAGAAAGGTAGTAAGGAGAAGAATACTCTGGGAAGGTGTCTAGACCAGGGTTTCTCAACCTCTGCACTGTTGACATCTTGGAGCAGATAGTTCTTTGTTGGGGGTGGGTGGGGTA